CCCCCCAGAGCATGGCCCACTCTGCTGGGCTTCTGACATGCCCTTTGTCCCCGGCTCAGTTTGGGGGCAGCCCCGTGTCCTGCGCTGTGGGGCTCGCCGTCCTGGAGGTCTTGGAGAAGGAGCAGCTCCAGGCTCATGCCGCCTGTGTGGGCAGCTTCCTGATGGAGCTCCTCAGGCAGCAAAAAGTTAAACATCCCATCATCGGTGACGTCAGGTGAGGCTCTGAGGGCAGTAGTCACCACCCACTAACCAGCACCTGCCAGGGGCCCAGCGCGGTATCATCTTCTTTCATCTCCTAACAACCTGGGATGGTGGGAATCTTTATGTCCGTGCTCCAGAGGAGGAACCGAAATACTGAGAGGTGCTGTTGCCCAAGATGGCATCATGAAGGGAAAAGACAGGATTCCACCTAAGCTCTGGCTGATCCCCAACCTGCTTCCTGTCCACAAGGTCCCCCTCCCCATCCCAGTTACTTCCTGAAACTGTTTTCACCACCCTCTGAGGGTTCCTGTGGCTCTCAGCCGCCCCAGGAGACACAGGTAGAAGCCCTAGCAGGCTTTCCAACAGCGAGGCTTGGCTGAAGCCCAGGCAGGGGGTGAGAGCAAAGACTGATCTCTCGGGCCTGGCCTCCTGAGATGTCACCTTCTTCTCCAGGGGTGTTGGACTCTTCATTGGTGTGGATCTGATCAAAGATGAGGCCACGAGGACGCCAGCAACCGAAGAGGCAGACTATGTGGTGTCCAGGTATTTGTTTCTTGAAACAAGTTGCCTTCTGGAGGAAATGCCATGAATCCCTCTTTGCAAAACCTAGGGCCCTGAGTGGGAAGGAACCTCCCTCTTGCCTCCTCATCTGTCCACCCTGTTCCCAGGCACTGTGGGCCCACAGGTTTGACTGAAGGAGTGCAGCAGCTGGGCCTCTGAGGGGGAAGGGGCAGCTGATCTGGGCCTACACTTGACTGAGCTCCAGAGACTGGCTCCATCAGTTCTGTGCCCACTGCTTGGCAGCAAAGGCTTCAGAGGACACAAGGGCAATTCCAGCCCACAGCAGCCTCCTCTGCCGAGAACACCAAAGCTAGCAGGGTGCTCAGACCCAGCCAACCCTACCACCACAAGGGCTGGAGAAGGGAAGCAGCTTCTCAAGAGCCACCCAGGGGGACTGTGGCAGCACCAGCCTCGGGTGGTCCCCATTCCCAGAGCAATGGGTTGCTGGGATGGACAGGACTCCAGTTCCTTGTCTGGGTTGGGGGGTATCTGGTTGAATCAGCATCTCAGGACTCACACTCCACAGCCCCCTGTAACTGATTTGCACGTTCTTTCATATGAACCCCAGGTAGGACCTGAGGCCTCAGGACTCCTTCCCCCTCTAGTTTAATTACTCCGTTTTATCTCTGTTCCCCACTCCTACCCCTTCCTATCTATCCTACCATGGAAAACCCTTCTGGGGTCTGACATGTGTCCTTATTCATATGGTTTCAACTCACGTGAACAGTATTGTAAATTGTGCAGTGATTGAGACTTGACCCTTCCATCCTCAGTGTCCAGCTAGTCCCTGCCTTCTCTCCACTGTTCAGTCTCACCCTCCAGCTCACCCACCCACTCCCCCAGTAAGCCTCAGGGGTCCTGAATGGTGAGTGGCATGGAAGGAGCCAGATCCCAGGCTAAGTCTTTCACCTCACAACACCTTGGTATTGCTGCTCCAGTTCCATGAGGAAAAGGAACTCAGGGGCCAGAGTTTCACCCACAGTCACCCTGCTAGGTGGACAAACTGGATTTGGCCTCAGGGCTGTTTGGACTCCAAAGTCCAAACTTTGTTCTTTCTGACATGGCCCTTGTCAGTGTTGGAAAGAACGGGGACAACAAACAGCCACAAGGCAGGCTGAGAAGGAGTCCCACCCCACACCCCACTCCTGACGACTTAAAAATAACGAGTAATTGGGCCGGCCCGTGGCTCACTCGGGAGAGTGTGGTGCTGACAACACCAAGGCCCCGGGTTTGGATCCCATATAGGGATGGCCGGTTTGCTCACTGGCTGAGCGTGGTGCTGACAACACCAAGGCCCCGGGTTTGGATCCCATATAGGGATGGCCGGTTTGCTCACTGGCTGAGCGTGGTGCTGACAACACCAAGGCCCCGGGTTTGGATCCCATATAGGGATGGCCGGTTTGCTCACTGGCTGAGCGTGGTGCTGACAACACCAAGTCAAGGGTTAAGATCCCCTTACCGGTCATCTTTTAAAAAATAATAATAATAAAATAATGAGTAATTAAAAAAGAACAGGAACAGGGGTCAAAGAGAATGTGTATATAATCATGTCAACCCTAACAATAAAATTAAGTTTCCATCCCAGACCACCTGAAGAAGGGGAAGGGCCTAGGGACTCCCACCTTGTCATATACCATCAGTGAAGTCCCGTGTACCCAACTAAAAACAAGTTTCTTAGGTATAAACAATGTTAAAAAAGGTAAAGTCACCTTCCTAAAAATGATTAGATGTTAAGAATGAACAGCCCTCTGAGACTGCAAGATAACCTGGGGGCAGGGGCAAGATAACCTACTTACTGAAACTAGGTGAGGTTTACATGTGGCTCATTACTCCATATTTCTTAATGCTGGATATTCTCCATGTTAAAAGGAAATACATTAAGTCATAAAATGCAGGTGTGATTCTTGTTGTCCAGTATAGCCCAGTAGCCATTCTTGGCTTGACTTACATTGGGGGCTCTAGGGACAGAGAGGCAAGGCCCCCATTCTGGAGAGCAGCAGGGTCAGGGAAAGGTGCAGTGCACCCCAGATGGGCACCATTGATGCTGGGCCAGAGGATGAGCAGGACCTTGGCAGGGGCAGTTGGTGCAGTATCCTGGTGGGAACTAGCCTATGGAGGGCTCTGAGGCAGTGTGGCTAGAGCCCCAGGCATGAGGCCAAGACCAGGCTGAAGAAGGCCTTGAATGCTTTAAAGGGGTGTTCTAATCCTCACAGGCTTAAAGAGAAGTACATTTTGCTGAGCACTGACGGCCCTGGGAGGAACATCCTCAAGTTTAAGCCCCCAATGTGCTTCAGCCTGGACAATGCAAGACATGTGGCGGCAAAGCTGGATGCCATTTTGACTGGTGAGCTTGGAGCCTGAGGAGCAGCTGACCATGTCTCTAGAACCCAACCCAGACCCAACAGCTAGAACCTGCCAGTATGTACCAGGGAGGGGGCATGAGAGCCCAGCAACTGAGCCAGAGTGTTGGACAGTGCAAGGAGCAAGGAGGGAGCTCAAGTGGAGGGCCTCTCCTATTCCTGCCTATGTCAAAGAGCTTCCTGAGCCACCACTCAGCCTGCCTGGGCAGGCATCATAGTGTAGGGTGCAGGGCAAGAGAGCAGGGCTGTGACACCAGACACCAGTACTACAGTGGGAGCTGAGACCCCCCCCCCATTACATGTTCTTACAGCCACCACGGAACATAGGGCCACCCTTAGCTACTGAGTGGTGGCAAAATGATTAGCATGAAGATTAATGAATACAAAATGAAATTCCTCCCAGCATTCCTACCATCTAGGATGGCCAAGGTCAGCACAGGGTCTCCCATACATCCACTTATACAAGACCTCTAATTACCAAACTATAAGGTGAGGTTCTGATGCATGTGCAGAACTCAGCAAGACCCCAAATAGGCAAAATCTGATCTCATGATACAGGCCAGAGCAGCCAGCAAGCAACCCCTTCCCTTCTGCCCGTGTTACTTCCTAGCTGCCCACAGTATGCTTAAGCCCACGGCTCTGGAGCTGGGGGAGGCCCAGTACCTACCTACTAGACACAATATGAGGTGGTGGGAACCCTGGGTGAACAAAGGGTGGCAGGCCACAAAAGTGCCTTAGGGTTCCTGGGCACAGCCTACAAGTCTGAGAACTGAGGGCTGGCTTTATGCTGCCAGAAAATTGCCACTACTGTGGCTGTTAAAGGGTGGGACATGGGCCTGGAAAGGCAGGCAGGCCCTGTCTCCAAACTATCATCCAAGCAGCTTGGACACTGAAGGCAGCAGGGGTCCTCAGTAGACAAATGTGATCCAGTTCAGGTGGCTGTGTGGTCTTTTTCAGACATGGAAGAGAAGGTGAGAAGCTGTGAAACACTCAGTTGCCAGCCCTGCTCAGTCAAGTGTCCTCCAGGTGAGTGGCCTTCTTGTTCTTGGAGATCCAGAGGTAGTTCCTTACCATCAGCACCTCCTCAGCTTTTTTTTATTTTTTAACGCTATGTTCTTAAGTTATTCCCCCATCCCATAGGTTAGTTTCTCCAACACTGGGAGGCTCTGGCTACCCTGGGCGCTGTCCACCACCCCTACCAGAAAATCTCTAAAACACTTAATTTGCATTTGATGGCTGGGGCAGGAGATATTTCCTCCTCCTAGGGATGAGTGAACAAAACTTTTCTGAGGCTGTGTCCACACAGAGACCTAGCCCACTGTTGCTCACTAAGCCCCAACTACCAGACTTGGGATGTTCCCATCCAGCTGGTAAATATCCCCTACCAAAGCGGGCTTTGGTGTGCCAATCAGGAGGGGACACCATCAGGCCCACATTCATCTGTCTGCTCCCTGACACTGCTTTGGTCTGTAGATTCACACCATCCTTGCTGGAAGAGACAAAACCCATTTTCATTATCAGTCAAGACAGTTAGGTGTTCCCAGGTATTGCACACACCACCCTGGGGGCATCCCTGCAGAGGACAGCAGCACCTTGCTGTACCATCTCAGCATCTTAGGTCGTTTTAAGGGGGGCTCACATCCTGGGCAGGACAGTCACTAGAGGAAATTAAACAAGGACATGGATGGAGAGTGTGTGGTTATGCCTGACAGGATGCTGTTAGATCACGGAGAACTTAGACAAGTGGTAGCTCAAAAGGCCAGAGGTCTGACTACACCCACGATGGGGCCTGCAACTGAAGGAGTTTGCTGTGGGAGGAGGCCCCAGCCCCAGATCACCTGGCACCCCCATTCTGGGCAAGAGATCTCACACAGTATATTCCACATTCACCCAGGCTTGGGAGTTTTTAAATTTTTATTTCAAAAGCTTGGATAGCTTCAATATCCAGGTCGTGGCAAAATCAGGACACGTGTAAAATACCTTACAATACATTAGATTCCCAAAAGGTACCAAAAAGTACAGTAAAATTAACACTTCCATTACAGGAAATGTATGACACAAATAATATAAAATTAAAAGGTGAAAAAAGGTGACACTGGCTTCCTAAGATCAGTTTACTCTTTACAACCAGGGTCCACAGGTCCAGGCTGCAGAACGGCAGCAGGAAGCAGGCCCTCCAATCTGGTTCTGCGTAACCTGGTGATAAAATCAGCCCATAATGCCGCTCTGGCTTCTGAGACACCACACGCTGCCTAAAACAACTAGAGCTCTGGAAATAGTAAACAGGAGAGTGATTTCCAGGGGGGAAATTTTAAATAAGATGCACATGGGACAGGCCATAGAAAGTTTGCCAAATTAAATTTGGTACATAATTGTGTTCACTCCATATCCAAACAAAGCGTGTGCGGTCGGTCAGTCGGTCGCTGCTCCTGCCGCCGCCTCAGTATGGCTTGTAGTTATTCTGATGGCCACCACGTCGCTGGCTTTTCCCATAATTTGTACTACCCTGACCTAGGGACAAGAACAACAGTAGCAGCTACTACTTACTCAGCCTTTACCCTGTGCCAGGCGCTTCACCATGCATCTTCACAGGGTCAACAGCCCTGTATGGTAGGGATTACCTTCCCCACCTTACTCAGGCCCACAAAAGCTACAGCCAAAATTGGGTAGCTCTGGTGGCTGAGCCAGGCCTGTATGACTCCAAAGCCCCTGCTGCCAGTGGCCCCTGCACTGTCTGTCCTGCCTCCCCTGGGTGGGTTAAGTGGATGAGGCCTCTCTCCTACTTACTGTAGTCGTAGCCGGGGCCGTAGCCGTAATAGCCATAGGGCGAGTAGTCGTAGCCGCCATAGCCGGGCCCGTAGCCCTGCTGGTAGCCGTAGCCCTGGTTCCAGTAGTTGCCGTAGCCCTGATTCCAACTCTGACTCTGACCTGTGGGGGGAGCAGGGCACAGGGGCCCATGGACCATTTAGCACACGCAGGAGCTAGGATGGAGGAAATCCTGCCCTTTGGGTGGCGGGGTTACTTTGGCAACTTAGAAACCAAGGGGCTGCTGTTCTGGTGTAGAGGGCCCTGGACTTGGGACCCAAGCCGAGGATCGATCGGAGGCCAAGATGCTAACTTCACTGCAGCAAAGGAGGCAGCTCACTTACTGAAATCACCCTCTGGTATCCCCCACCCTCCCTGGCAGCTCGGCTTTGAAAAAGATACAGTTTAGGCTTTGGAGTCAGAAGGGCCTGGGATGGAAGGAGGTAAGCGCCTGGCACAGCTCTGCCCTACCCTTCTGCCCACCCACCCATGGGTGTACCAAGACTCAGTGAACTACCAGAGCCAAGACACCCCATCATGTCTCCCACCCCAGAGTATGATGCAAATGCTCCCCTGCCCTGGGGTCCCAAGCCACATGAGCGAGAAAGACAGGGCTCTTCCATTCCAAGGGGCAGCAGCAGCACAGCCTCAAGCACACAACCTTTACCCAGGAGACCCATTCCTATTCCTGCCCAGTCCCCACCTCACATACGCCTGCCCACCTCTGCTGCACAGTGGCCAGAGGGAGCCCCAAGACTGGCGTGGAAGGTTCCATTCAGGCAGGGAAACAGGACCCATCTTCATCCAGGCTCCACTCACCTCCACCGCCACCACTGCCTCGGTTCCCTCGGTTGCGATTTCCACGGCCCCCAGAGCCATACTGCTGCTGCTGATAGACCTCTTTGGGCTGGGCCACCTTGATTTCACACTAAAAGCCAAGAAGACAGTGGGTCAAGCCAGTAGGACAAGCTCATGGCAGGGACTATGCACAAAAACCTTCACTGTGACAAACATTCAGATGGTGGATCAGGTCCATTTGCTCAAAATCAAAGTATGCTAAGGTGGGAAGCCACACTTGGGCTAGAAGCTCTTAGAACCATAACTAAAACCAAGGGCCTTTCTGATGCAAACTTTTCCTGGAGAATGCACTGGGGATGGATGATCGCAGCCCAGGGTAGCTCGATGTCTAACAGAGATAAAGGCAACTGAGCCAAGTGCAGCTATGGAGAGCAAGACACTACCCCGGGTAGGTGGCAGAGGAGCAGAGGAAGGACTGGAGGCTGGCACCTTGGGTCTGCTGGGTAAGAGTGTCAGAGAAGACTTCTCAGATGAAGGGCTGGCTTTAGACAGTAAGTTTCTTTTTCTTTCTTTTTTTTTTTTTTTTTTTCCAGAAGAAACTCATCCTACTCAAAGATTCTATTGAGAAGGTGACCCTGCACTCCCCGTCTGACAGATAAAGCTTCAGAGATTCAGGGTGATACCATACTACTACCGACTCCTCCTCCAACCCCTGGTCTATTGCTGGGATAGACCAGATGCATAAATCCCCTCAGGGCCCAGAGTCCATTTCCTTTTTAACCAAAAATCTGCCCAATGGGGTTGGGGACATTCAAGTTCTCCTGCTTAAATAAATCACAACAGTATATTCTTAAGGGAAGTTCCCTGACACTTCCATTAAAAGTAATAAAATACATTTTAAAAAACTTTTACACATTGTCTGTTGTCTCCATACAAGCATACACTTCTAATTGACAAATTACCCAAGTGATGTAATTACAACAACCAGATATTTTCTATACTATTCAAAATGCTGAATACAGGGCTGGCTTGTTAGCTCAGGTGGTTGAGTGCAGTGCTGACACCACCAAGGTCCAGATCTCCATACAGGCCAGCCACCAAAAACAAAACAAAACAAAACAAAAATACTGAATAAAATTAACTAAATACACTTATCTTTAAGACTCAGTACCAGCAGCTTCACTAAAACACCACCTCAGCAGCTCTTCCCACCCATTTCGCATTGTGTTACATAGAGAAAAAAGCCTCATGTCGCTGTCCAGTGGAGTAACAACTGATGCCCCACTCAACTCCCCTAAAATCCTAATTTTATAGGAAAATTTAGAGGCCCAATCCCTAGTCCTATCTTTCCAAACTCCCAGCCAGGATGGAGACTCCCAGGAGCCCCACCCTACCTGTCCCACCTTATCTGGCTGCCATTCCTCAGAAAGCCTGCCACACCCTGCACAGCAGGCCACACCCTCACAACTCACAACTGCCAACATGAAGCCTGAACTATACTCTCCACTGCCAGGGCTCAGGGGAAGAGCAGCACCTCTTGCTAACTCCACCTACCCAAAGGCAAAACTGGACTTGGGCTTAATTAAACCAGCCAGACCAACTAAGAGCTCTTTGGGAAGGATCCTTGCCTGGGGCGAGGGTTGACTAAAGCCATGCCCAAAGAATGGGAATGGAAGTAGACAAAAATTTGATCATGAAAAGGAGGCCAGAAAGGTCAGGAGCAGGAAAAACTTCACCTTAGAGGGAAATCATTGAGTTACAGACGTTCTAGAATCTTCTGAGACCTTAACTGAAAGCCTCATACACCCTGGACTCTTAAAGATTTAGAACACCACCACCTCTAGTTTTAAATCAGGAACCAAAGGGCCGACCGAGCGCGGCGCTGGGAGCGCAGTAGCTCCCGCCGCGGGTTCGGATCCTATATAGGGATGGCCAGTGCGCGGTGCGGCCAGTCACCAAAAAAAAAAAAAGAAGAAGAAATCAGGAACCAAAGAGGCTACCCAGTGTGCTGTATTCACGGAAGCCACCCTTCCTCTCCTACCTCCCTCATATCCTGTGTATTGGCAGTCTTGCCAGCATAGGAGCTCTTGGAAGGACAAGACCATCTGCCCCAATCAGGGCAGCATATACTGTAGAGAAATAGTAAGATCTAACTAACCTGGAGAGCTTTTGGAGGTAGCCAAACCCCTAACCCACACCTGCAAGGGCCAGCTCTCCAGCAGCAGGAGGCCAAGCACACAGAGCTGAAGACACTTTACCTTGCTTCCACTAATAGTATGGAACTTTTTCTCCAGGACTTTCTTCACAGGTTCTTCCTCTTTAAAGGTGATAAACACAAAACCTCGTCTTTTGTTCGACTTTGGATCCATTGGAAGCTCAATAGCCTCGATCTGTAAAAACATAAGCAAAAGCTCAGGACCACTACCTCCGTTTACACAGGGAATACAGGGGTACTCACAGGAGAAAAGAGCCACTGAAGGCCAGAGGGTAAAGAAGAAACCCTTCTAAGGAGGGCTCCAGCCAGCTAAGGCTACCAAAGACTAGGAAGAAGGCAGCCTCAAGGCAGCTGGCAGGCCACTATCAGAGCCACACACTCACCTCCCCAAACTCGCCGAAGTATTCCCTGATCTTTTCTTCAGTGGCTTCAGGATTCAGACCTCCCACAAAGACTTTCTTCACCGGGTCCTTCTTCATAGCCATGGCCTTTTTAGGGTCAATGACACGGCCATCCAGCCTATGCTCCTTCTGGTCTAGAACCTATTCCAATAGAAGGGAGTCAGGTTCTAACTCAGCAGCATGACCCCTCAGCAAAGCCCTTCTCTTTGAGCCTCAGGACTCCAGCACAGGTACATAAAATGTGTCTCATCCTCTCATATGCTACCACTTGACTTCCCAGCCCAACGGTCCTTAAAAACCTCAAGTATAGCTAATTTACCTAAATACCTACAAATCAGTCCTCACCCATCTAAGCCTTTGCCCATGCTGTGTCTCTCTTCATGTCCAAGCAGTCTCAATTTAAGGCCCATCTCCTCCAGCAGTAAAACGCAGTAAGATCACAGGCTGGAGATGGGCTGCTGGGAATAGAATCCTCATTCCACCCCTTACTAAGTATGTGATCTCTCAAATTTCTGAGTCTTAGATTTTGGCTTTTTCCCTATAAAATGTGGCTAAATGCCTACCTCATAACAATCTTGGGCTCTTTTCTAATCCTCACGATAGTGTTGAGCAGTGTCCAGAACAGGCACAAAAAAAGTTAAAAAACATCAAATACAATCTTCCTGAACCACTCCAGAATATTAGTCGGTCCCTACTTTATCTGTATTTTTATCCCCTCAAAAACAAGCATGTATGGTTAGCTCACTTGGGAGAGCGTGGTGCTGACAACACCAAGTCAAGGATTAAGATCCCCTTACCAGTCAATTCGCACATAAGTTCCTAGCCTTTCTGCTTTACCCAGAGCACACAAATTAATCACGCTGGAGAATGACGTCTCCTTAGAATTCAAATCCTACACAAAGGCTGACTGCTATACAGTACCCAGCTTACCTTCTCCACACTGGCAGCATCTTTGAAAAGGATAAACCCAAATCCTCTTGACCGTCCAGTGTTGGGATCCATTTTTATTGTACAGTCAACGACCTCTCCAAATTTTGTAAAGTAGTCCTTTAAGTCTTTTTTGCTGGTATCCCAGCTCAGGCCACCAACAAACATTTTTCTGAAAAGGTACGGTGAGACACACGGCAACAAGTCTTATAAGAAAGCTGTCATTTTAGGAAGAACCTGCCCAGGCAAAGATTGCACTTGAAGGATCATACCACCGTCCTTATAGACAAAATCTACACCCACCCTCAGGGTCTGCAAGGCTGCTACCTTTGAAGGATGTTAAATCTCCACTACCTCCAAACTCAACTCAACCTGGACTCTAACAACGCTTTTAACACCGTACAGCCCCAGGCTGTGGAGAGGGACAACCTTGCCAGGGGCATGGGTCCTCACCACTCACTCACAACTGGAAGTTAATGTGTCCTAGAACCACGTATCAAGGGGCTAGCATTCCTCCCTGTCTTCACCACCTCCCGAAAACTGGTCTCAAGGAAGGAAAGTCTCGGCTTCCTGAGGCCGAGACCGCCCAGGGATCAGACCGTGACTCCGCCCCCAGCAGGAGGCGGAGAAGGCAAGCCCCGGCCGGGCGCGCCAGCTCCGCCCACGCAGCCCCAGGCCGGCCGGGCCGTGTGTCCCTGTGCTTTCCCTCTTCCGGGCCGCCCGCCCTACGCCGGCCCCGGCAGCGCGCGAGTGGCCCTAGGGCGGCGCCAAAGTCGACCCAACAAACTCCTGCAAACTCCAGCGCGAGAGCCGGCCGGCGAGCGCGGTGAGGGCCAGTCCGCGGGCAGCTCGCAGGCCACGGCCGGGCCGCCCGCCCCTCCCCCCGCCGCGTGGCGCCAACAAAAGGCGGCCCCAGAACAAAGGCGGCGCCCCCGTCCACCCGCGCCTGCACCTACCCCGCATCCTCCTCGTTCTTGCTGGCGTTGATCTGGTCGCCTTCGGCACCGTTTTGATTCCCGCTCGGGGGCGCCGCGGTCCCGCCTCCAGACCCCGCCGCGACTCCGGTGCCGGCCCCGGCCGGCGACTCGCCTTCGGGGGCGGCCTCATGTCCGTTTTCGGTGGCGCCCGTCTCCATGGGCTGCTCCTCACCCGCTTCCGACATGCTAGGCCGGGGCGCGGCGGCTCCTGTAACGAGCGGCCGCACGCGGCGACAGCACGTCAGGCCGGCACAGCTTCCACCCGAGCTCCCGCCCGCCACCCGCCGCCTGGCCTCTCACCTCGCCGCCGATGACGCCGCGGAGCCCGCTTGTCCCCACCCGCCGAGGAAGGCGCTGCGGACTCGGCCGCAGTCAAGCTCGCGCCGCCGGGGCCTCGCCTCCGTCCACCGACGGAGCCGCTCGAACCGCGTTCTCTCCTCAGCCGCTGCCGCCGAACCGACCCCACCAACCCAAAGCCCCGCTCTGGCCCGCGCGGTGCCGCCGCCTGACAATGCCGACTCGTGGCGCTCTTTATAATGCCGGAGCCGGGCCCACCTCGCAACAAAGCGTATGCTCATTGGCTGCATCCGCCGGTCACTCAGTCTTGATCCGGCGTCCCATTGGCTGCGACGGCGCGCGCGCTCTAGATCCGGGCGGGCTTTGTCCTCGTTTTAGAACCCGCGCTAGTCAAGGCCTTTCGATGGTTCCTGAGGCCTCACAGGGCTGCGGCGTGTCCCGAGCGTCCAGTGGGCTCGGGCCGGACCCTCAGCTCTCTGAGGCCGCAGTCTCTCGCGCTGATGCGCCCCCTCCCGGCACTGGCAACGTCGGCCTCCAGAGGAAACTGGGTCCGAGTAAGTCTCACAGTCCAAGGTCGCCCAGCTGGAAGTAGCAGAACCTGAGCTTCCGAGATCGGGCGAGTAGGGCCCTCCGAGGCCCTCGGAACGGTTCGGATGATTGGGACCTCCCCCCTGACCTTGGTGCCCTCAAAGCCCAGCGCTCCCGCCCTTTCTGCTCCCTCCCCCAGAGATGGGGTTGGAGGGTGGTCCGCCCGGTGCCTGACGCCAACTGTGCTCGGTAGGAATTATGCTCCCGTCTCTGGTCGCCTGGCACAGCCTGGATGATTAACATCGCATTTATACTTTTGTTTACTTAAAATTCTTCCTATACATTGGTTCATTTATTTTTGGTGAAACATATTTTCGAGAAAAATATATCACTCGTGAAATCATGAGTTGTTTTGTTTTGTTTTTTCCGGGGGCGGAGGGAGGTGGCTGGTTCTCTAACTAATACACAAAAATACAAAATGTCTTTATATTATCTCATTGATCATCAAGCTTGAAAGGCCTAGGTAATCCTGTGATTCCTTTTAATCACATGGGTAGAGAGCCGCAAACTGACCAGGATTACCACCTCTGAAGCCTGGGGATTATCAAATAGCAACAGAACACAAGTAGCTAACGTTTCCCCTTGGATTCCTGCAGCCGGGCCCCATGTAGAGGGCTGGGCGTTCTTTTTCTATTTTCGCACCTGATGTCCTAAAGTCTCTATATAAGGTGGTTCCATCACCAATTTATAAAGGAGAGAACTGAAGCCCAGAGCAGTGTGGCAAGTCTACACAGCAGACTCACCTACCAGCTCCATCCAACCAGTGGAGTTGTCCTAAAAATGAAAAATATGAGTTTTACATTTTGAAAAAATATTGACTTCAGGCTATTCTATAAAAATCTAAAGATTTGGCCACACAGCACTGCATTTCCCCCAAGGCAACAGTCAACTAGAGTTGGGGGATCCACCCCCAAATGAGCAAGTGCCTTCTGGTTCACCCCAAAGCCCACTCAACCCCTTCACTCTTTCAGGCTAGATTCCATGAGTAGAATTCACCTGTTTCGACACAACCTTAGTCATGTCACTGAAATCAAGAAGTGAGGCTTTCAGGGAAGTCTAACAAACTGCCTACCCCACCTCCACCCCAGCCTTCATTCACCCACAGAAATGAGGGCCAGGGATGCAGCTGGGAGGAGATGATGGGCCCAGCTCCCTTGCAAAAGACATTTCAGAAGATTGAGTTCAAAGTCAGATGTTAAGTGCAGCCCCAGGACATAACTACTGAGAGCAAAAATTCACTTAATCTTCCACATGGATTCCTTTACCACAATTCAGAAACACTTTCAATGCTATGTAAAGTCTGAGGACAACATTTGGAAAAAGAAAAAAAAAATTTAGACAGTGCTTCACAGTTTGCAAATGCTTTCACCAAGCATTTGCTTTATTGGAGCTTCAAAATAGCATTGTGGGCTGGCCGGTTAGCTCAGTTGGTTAGAGTGACCTTATAACACCAAGGTCACAGGTACACATCCCTGTACCAGCCAGCCACCAAAAAATATATATAGCTTAAGGCAGTTACCTGTATTTTATACATGAGAACACTAAAATCGCATGGCTAAAATGTGGCCACAAAGCTAGCACTTCCAACTCCACATTGAGGATTGTTTCCAGGGCTCCTGGCTACTGTGGGACAAGGTGTCTGAGCTTCTGAGTTCCTTGGTCTATCTAAGTTAGATCTCCTATCGGATTAAATTATTCAGAGGCTCAAATGAAGCAATGGCTTAAAAAATACTTTATAAACAACTGCAGACAGGTGGGTGTCAGTCTCAGCACAGAATACCTTTATATTGCATCCAAGCGTGTTTCCAACAGAGGCAGGGAACCAAGCTGTTTGGAACCAGTAGGAAGTCCCTTTGACACAAGGACCCCCAGTCTGGTTGGGCCCCAGTTACAGGCCCTGTGTGGAGGGCATCTTCCATTTCAGTGAGCTTCTCAAGTCAGCGAGAAGCTCAGTTACCTCTGAAAATCCTTTAAGAGGCCCATAGAATACAGTACCATGGCTTTGAGGATTCATACTGTCCAGCAATGTATGTGTAAAATGCATACAATCTCCAGTCTAGAAGAGGACATATGCAAAATGCATTTTGATAGTTTTTTAATTAAATAAATTTTTCTCATGTTCTCTTTTTTTTTTTTTTTGACTGAGCCTGCAAGGTGAAGTTGCATGAGTTAACTGCAAATACATTGTGCCTCTGCCTGTGACCAGCTCCCACTCTGGCCACTTCCCACACTCCACTAGATGGACTCCAGCTCCCCTGCTTCAGGCCATCTCTGGCTCCAACCAGAGGAATCTTTCTAAAACGCTAGTTGGATTTTGTCACTGCTCTTCATGAAAACCCTAGCTAGCTTCCCAGTGCTCTGATAATCCTGACTTTGGGTAAATATGGGTAAGAGAGATATTGGGGCTCCCAAAAACTTATGCTCCCTCCTTTCCAGCCTCCTTTGCTGTGTGGTCTGTGGGTGGAAAGATCACTTCCAGGCTTGGGTCACTGAGAAGTGGGGCCTCCTTCAGACCTCTCACACATCAGACTTGACACGTCCTAGAAGTGAACTTATACTGTATCCTCTGCTGAGATTTGGGATCTTTTTTCTCTAAATGCAGCCTAGCCTAGCCTGACCATTCCACACGGCCATTCGCATGCATGACCCACCCCAGGCACATCTCATTGCCATTCTCTACTCCAGTTGTGCTGAATATCGTTTCATAATTCTTTTGTGTGTGTGTGTGTGTGGCTGGCTGGTATGGGGATCTGAACCCTTAACACTGGTGTTATAACACCACACTCTAACCAACCAAACTAACCGGCCAGCCCTGTGCTGAATATCTTTTATTTCCTGGAACTCTTAAGCACCCTCCTTCCTCTGAGCCTTTGCACCTGCTGTTCCCTCTACCTGAAATACTCTTCCCCATATTTCACCTGCCTATATCTGTTGTGGGTTGAAATGTGTCCCCCAAAAAGATATGTTCAAGTCCTAATTCGTGGTACCTCTAAATGTGACCTTATTCAGAAATAGTCTTTACAAGGACTGGCCCATGGCTCACTTGGGAGAGTGTGGTGCTGATAACACCAAGGCCAAGGGTTCGGATCCCCATATATGGATGGCTGGTTAGCTGACTTCAGAGAGCACGGTGCTGACAACACCAAGTCAAGGGTTAAGATCCCCTTACCAGTCATCTTAAAAAAAAAAAAAAAGAAAAAAGAATTAGTCTTTACAGGTATAATCAAGTTAAGATGAGGTCATACTGGAGTAGGGTCAGCCCTTAATCTAATATGACTGGTGTCCTTATAAGAGGAAGAAAGACACAAAGACAGAGACACACAGAGAAAATGCCATGTGATGACAGAGGCAGAGATTGGAGTGATGCATCTACAAGCCAAAGAATGCCAAAGATGGCCAGCAAAACCAGAAGCTAGGAGAGAGGCACAGAACAGATTCTCCCCAAAACCTGCAGAGGGAGAATGGCCCCACTGACACATTGATTTTGGACTACTAGCCTTCAGAACTGTGAGAGAATAAATTTCTGTTATTGTAAACCACTCAATTTGTGGACATTTGTTACAGCAGCCCTAGCAAACTAATATAACTTCTGCCTTCTCCAGTGTATGTCATGCCCAGAGGAAGGGCCGCTCTCAGAGCACAGACCATACAATATTGAAATTGACTGTAAGCTCAGTGAGATCCTGCATCCTGAAGGTCTGTCTCCTTCACCCTGACTCCTCCAGTGGGCACTCTAATACCTGCAGAATGAATCAGACATCTCTTCACTGGGGTTACAAACGTTACCTTGTGGGCTAAATCTGACTCTTGGACATGCTGGCTTTCCCTACACAGTGTTTTGTTTTTCTTTTTACTTTAATTTTATCTTTTTTTTTTTTTTGGCAGCTGGCCGGTACATTTCTTTCTTGTTTTTTTTATTTTATTTAAAAGATTTTTTTTCTTACACAGTGTTTTAAACATTTAAAAAAATTATTTGCGGTCTGGTCAGTTAGCTCAGTTGGTTAGAGCATGGTATTAGAAAACCAAGGTCAAGAGTTCAGATCCCCATACTGGCCAGCTGCAAAAAAAAAAAAAGGATTATTTGCCAACCACTTACAAACTATGACATTTCTACAAAATGTTGTGTTTTCAGTTACTTTTGGAAAATTGCTGGATGAAATCACAGTGGGCAACAGTCCCACGTGTCCACAATAAGCGGGAGCTGAGTCACGCTGCCCCCCCAGCAGATGAGGCAGGTGCTGTTCAGCTAACCCCAGCCCCCGCCATGTCCTAATGCCTTCCTCCTGGGCCCCCTAAACTCATTTTCATTGCCTGAAAGCATCTGAGATGTCAATCTCTAACCAGATCTCCATGAAGCTCAGCTTCTTCATCTTTAAAACAGGGGTGGAGCTGGCCGATTGGCTCAGTTGCTTAAAGCATGGTGTTACAACACTGAGGTCAAGGGTTCAGATCCCCGTGCCAGCCACCAATAAATAAATAAAACAATGATGATAACACCTCTCAGTAGTCCTTCAGGGATCAGAGAGATTGGCTGCCAAGGCTTCAGCATAGTGCCTGGCATGAAAGAGCTGTAAATGAGAGCTGCTGCTACTACCAACAACAATCATAACAATAGAAGCATCTAAGGGAAGATTCCTTTGCCTGCTAAGCTCCCTCAGTATGTCTCAGATAGGATCCTCAAAACAGACTTGGAAGATTTGGAGAGACTGTGAGCTAACCTCCCTGAGGTCACATTCTCACAACTGCCAATCCACGCCCTGCTTGAGTTTCAGAGGCAGCCTCTGCCCACTGCCAATCAGAAATGCCTAGAACACCCTGCTGGAATCAGACCTCAATGGAATATGTCATTCACACACAAAACCCTAATCCTCCCAGTTTGGGAACTTGCAAGCCTGCATACGGTGGGTACAGTGTGCAGAGGGTCCCAGCCTGGCTTCATGTCATAATCCTCTGCATAGCTCTTAAAACTTCAAACTCCCAGGCCCTTGGGGCTGGACTCTCATTTTATAAAGCATTCCAGACACCAGGCATTGAGAGAAGAACAGATTTTAGGACTAACTACTGTAGACTAGGTGGACAAAAAGCCTATGAATCTAGGAAGTGCCTGTCTCCCCTCTGAGAGGCAGCAGTGCCTCCTAAAACAACCGGTCTTCAGAGGCTCTTTTATGTTTATGCTTTGGCACTGCCACTGAATTAGGGGGACTCTCTCTTTAAGCCTCAGTTTCTGCTTACACAACAATTCAACTATTCTCTCATTTATTCACTCAGTTGAATTGTTGGGGTTTCAACTGCCATCAACATGCCCATGACCCCAGGACAGACCTGT